CGCTATGTAGGATCTGAGGTTCTCACAGCGGTGGTTATGAAGAGTTCTGTCTTCTGGGATATAACGCCGTGTAGGATCTGAGGTTCTCACAGAGGTGGATATGAAGAGTTTATCTTCTGGGATATAGCGCTATGTAGGATCTGAGGTTCTCACAGCGGTGGATATGAAGAGTTCTATCTTCTGGGATATAGCGCTGTGTAGGGTCTGAGGTTCTCACAGCGGTGGTTATGAAGAATTCTGTCTTCTGGCATACAGCGCCATGTAGGATCTGAAGTTCTCACAGCGGTAGTTATGAAAAGTTCTGTCTTCTGGGATACAGCGCTATGTAGTATCTGAGGTTCTCACAGCGGTGGTTATGAAGAGTTCTGTCTTCTGGGATATAGCGCTATGTAGGATCTGAGGTTCTCACAGCGGTGGTTATGAAGAGTTCTGTCTTCTGGCATACAGCGCCATGTAGGATCTGAAGTTCTCACAGCGGTAGTTATGAAAAGTTCTGTCTTCTGGGATACAGCGCTATGTAGTATCTGAGGTTCTCACAGCGGTAGTTATGAAGAGTTCTGTCTTCTGGGATATAGCGCTATGTAGGATCTGAGGTTCTCACAGCGGGGGATATGAAGAGTTCTATCTTCTGGGTTATAGCGCTATGTAGGATCTGAAGTTCTCACTGCAGTGGTTGTGAAGAGTTCTGTCTTCTGGGATACAGCGCTATGTAGGGTCTGAGGTTCTCACAGCAGTGGTTATGAAGAGTTCTATATTCTGGGATACAGCGCTATGTAGGATCTGAGGTTCTCACAGCAGTGGTTATGAAGAGTTCTATATTCTGGGATGTAGCGCCGTGTAGTTCGTTTGAAAGTCAACCAGCATTTCGGAGTAGCATATCGCCTCCATCTTCAATGCGTATATTTGCCACCTTCTTTCTCGCTGGTGTCTTGCTCAGTTCTAAAATGGAGGCAGTGTGTTCCTCTGAAAAATCGGTCGACTTTCAACGGACTACATGACACAATATCCCAGAAGTGAGAATTCTTTAGATGGCAAATATTTACTCGTTTTGGAGGAACTCCGAAATATGGAGGTAGAAAATTCCTCCGAAACTTTTGAAACTTACACTAGAAGGCGTCAGACCTAACTTGTTCTACTTCAGCTTGATGCGTTCTTATGGCAGGAATTAACTACAACACGCACTAACGACCGCAGCCAAACAGAAACAACTATAGAGGATTTTCGCAATCCCCACATCACTTCCCACTACAACATACAGAGCCCAAAAATAAAGGTAAATTTGTACCTGTGCTTAATTAACGAAACACCGCGCCATGAGGACGCGTGTGAGAGTAAGAGTATCGCTCTGCCCTTTCCGACCTCGCACTAAATGGAGGTGAGTGATCACTTTCACTCCCCGGCCACCTTAGCCCGAGGGAAAGCCCTCGGTACTCTTTGGATAGGAGGTTTAGTGGACTTAAAAATCGATGTGGATGCTGTGCAGTGGAGAAAATTTTCTTGCCCCTCCTGGAAATCGAACCCCGCCTATCCAGCCCATAGCCTTTCGCTATACTGACTGAGCTATCCCGGGTCTAGTACGCTATAGTACATTGCGACACGTGACTATATTGCAAGTTGTGATTACAGTGAAAATATTTGTCTAGCAGAGAAAACCCTTCACCAGTTCTGGTCACAATCTGCAAAAGTCATTTTGCACTAGTCTAATTTAAATCTAAGAACAAATGATAGCAGTCAGTGGGTAACACATCAGTCTGACCAACCTAACCGAATTTGCATATTCTATCACTCTCTGAAGGTGCCACCTAGGGCTGACGTAAGCAGAGATATTTTGGTGGGATTTGAGGCGGTGGTTATGAAGACTTCTGTCTTCTGGGATATAGCGCTATGTAGTCCGTTGAAAGTTAATCGACGTTTCAGGGAAGCGGCATGTTCAGGGTCGAAGAAAAAGCAAAGCAAGAAAAAGAGTATTTACATATAAGGAGGTATATAGAACCAGGGTGTTCCAACAGCCAGAAGGTTTCTGCTTCGTGATTTGTTGGTTGGTTTGTATATCATTTAATGACGCTACGTCACTACAGACGACGAAGCGGGGCAAGTAGATTACTGCGGGAACAGTCCTGCCTAGGAAGCAGCCGTAACTTTTTCTAAGTATTAGCCTAGACAGTCTTAAGAAAGCCTCAGTTTTCTTAACAAGGAAATTGATGTCCTGACCTGGACTCTAATCGAGAACTTCATGAATACAGGTCAGATGCTTTACCACTTGAGTTAAGCTGCTAGACTAACAGCAACTTTATCCGTGTATTTTTCATGAAGTATGGATAAAAATGATGGACGAGACATGTAGCACTCAGGAGAGAAAAGAAGTGGTTTTGTAGGAAATCAAGAAGGGAGATCACTTGGAATCCCTAGGAATAGAAGGAAGGATAACATTAAAATGGATATTAAATAAATATAAAAAGGACACCAAATTTGCAGTTTATACATATAATTAATTTCTTACAATATCCGCCTACCTACCACTCGGCACTACAGCCCTGGGTGAGCCTTGGTCTCCTCTACAACCAGTCTCCACTGCTCTCTATTCCTCATCTTCTCTATCCATCCTTTCACCTTCATCTTCTTCAGGTCGTTCTCAACATCGTCTGTCCGTCTTATCCTGGGTCTTACTTTTATTTTGGAATATAGCCTTCCTTTTAACATTCTCTTTGGTACTGCATTATCTTCCATTCTCTCGACATGTCCCAACCATCTTATTCCCTGTGACTTGATAAATCTTTGTATCTTCTCCTTTCAGTAATGTGTTCATCTCTTCATTGTATCTTATCCTCCATATATTATTTTCCATCACTGGTCCGTATATTTTGCGTATTATTTTTCTCTCGAATATTCTCAGTGCATTCCCTTTTTGTTACCGTTAGGGTCCAAATTTCTTACAATAATCGTCATTAAAATACTTGTACGGATCTCTCTCCGACATAAATTACGTTTGAATTCTCTGATGGTGTGACACATTGTTTAAAATCAGTATTTTGGACTTGGTACATCGTTCCAATATTAAAATTACGATATTCCTAAAATTGGCTTTATTTCCGTTTTCATGTGAAGAGGACCAGAAGAAAAGAAAACACTCTTTTGAACAAACCATGGCTTCAGTAACTTCTCAAGATGACCAGCCTACGAAATTGTAGTTTTAAGCAATTCCTAGGCACTGCAGGTTTCCCTCGCCCTATCCACGTGCAATGTACTCACTGTTCAGCTAACAATCATTTATTACAGGTTAATCGTCTTAGCCATTTCGACCGTGTGATTGTTCCTGAGGTTTCATTAGACTAAGTAAATTGTGCGGTGCGTCAGGACAAGACATAAATCTGCCAGGACGCCTGATCCCCTTCGTCACCGGTTCTCGAGAGCGACTTTCCTCTCTTTTTCCTTCCAGATTGTGGAAACCAATAAGAGCCATTAGTGAGATTGCTGCCTCCTTGGCACTCTCTCGTCAAGATAAAAAAAGGAGCTTAGAATAAGAAAAAGTCTGAAGCCAACGTTAGGTCTCACGTGATAATTACAGTACCCTACGTTGGGAGAAATACACTGTTATTCCAAATAGTTTCTTCTTCCTTCTGGTCTAAGTTTAATTCCCTGAGTTCATATGATACAAGTAAAGTTTCTCATCTGCTTAATTAATTAAGCATCGCTCCATTAAGGCATATTGGAGAGTGGAGATATAGCTCCACCATTCTTGACCTCAGCACTAAATGTCGATGAATAGTCAGATTCATGTCCCCGGGGAAAGATCTCTCGGTACCCATCGGATGCGAAGTTGGGTGGGCCCTAGAATTGGTCTGGACGGTATAAAGGAGGTAAAAAACTTGCCCCTGGCTGGAATCAAACTCCGACCGTCCAGTCAATCGCTGTATAGACTGAGCTATCCCGCCTCCGAGTGTACACGTATATGATACAGCATAGATTCCTTCACTGTAGTCATGTTCTCACATAATTACAGCTAATGAGGCACATATTCATTTGAGACAAACAGGCACTAGTAATTAACTAGTTATTAAAAGAGTATTATCTCTTGGGATACAATGCCGAGTTGTCCATTGAAAGTCTACCGACGTTTCGGAGGAGTTTATCGAGCCCATTTTCGGTATTGAAAAATAAATCGAGCAAGATACCAGGGCGAAAGCTTCTGGCAAAGAGAGCAGTCTGCTCATAGTCAAAGTCAGAGTCACGTTACAACCGACAGTCAGTCAGTTAGTCAGTCCGTCTTGGTGTCGAGCTCTGTCAGGGGCTTATAACAAAATTTTAATTACTGTTTGGAAGCAAGGTTTTCTCAATGTAAGGCGCCCTCTCTGACGAGAGAACCGGCCTGTCGTTTATCAGAATCATAGTCAGTAGTTCGTCATTTACGTAGCATAAGTGTTATAGTCTGTCAGTTGTCAATATGTACATAGTATTTAATTAGACTCTAGCCCGTAGCCAGTCGCTATACCGACTGTGTTATCCCGGCTCCCTTTCCATTTGGTACGAAAATTATATGTCTATTTTAGATTCAGATCTGATAGCGATCCTTGCACACAAATTTTGAACTAGATGACTCGTTTTTTTTTAATTCATCAGTTCTGATTGTAGGATGTAAACAAATCTCCCATGCTTGATTAGGGAAGTCTGGAGATCGAAATTGTCCATTCACACCCATCTAGTGGAAGGCTGAGAATACTTTCGGTTTTACCTACACCACCGAATACGCCTTCAAAACAACACTGTTCTTTTTTCCCATTTTTAATAACTGGGTTACTTACCCATGCTGTTTGTTTACCACAGTCACCTACCGTCATACATACTATATGCAGTAGTCGGAAATTAGACGTTCACATCTCACATTATCTGCCATCTACAGACAATAGTCTGTACTACATTACAGGACATACAATCGATATATCGACTTTGCAGGGATGTAGATAATATTTGGTGGTAATCCATGGACCCATGGACGTACTTTAGCACCTTGGCGCTAACGGCGCTAACGAACTAGTAGTCTTTGAAATGGAAGTGTTTGGTGAGTGGTTGGAATTTTACTTCGAAATTGTGTAGCTGTATATCATGGCCCTTTCATTTATAGGGCGAATTATATGCGCAAGAAGGAATATTCTTATAACACCATGCAGAAGTGGCTATATTGTTTTGTGAGTTGAGTTTTATTTTTTCTTAAGGTGTACGTTCAGGTTAGCATGGAGCAATTTGCAGAAAATTTGCGACTAATGCATTGTCAATTTATGTCGATATAAATGGTAGTATGTTGCATCTGTCCATATGCATTTGTGCATTTAGAGTTTACAGGAAGTTCACCAAAAATAACTCGGAAAATTGTTTGTTATGCCAGATGCTCCCCTTGCGATACCCCCACTAACCTATAACGCTTCCCTCACCGCACAAGAAGCTGTGCCCGTTACATGAGAATGTATGGCCGCACCATAGCTCAAGCGCTTAGTCGCTGGCTTCACACCGCGGGGGCCCGGGTTCGACCCCAGGTCTGGTCAAGTGGGATTTGTGGTGGACAAAGTGGCGCTGGGGCGAGTTTTCTCCGAGTGCTTCGGTTTCCCCTGCCAATCTTCATTCCACCAAATTCTCCATCATAATCACCCAGTGGCCGCCGTGGCGAGTGGACCCAGTTGGACTCCAATTAATACATGAGACTGAACGTAAATATTATTAGCCGATCTGAAGAGTTAATTGAATATGACGTCACTTCAGTGTTGATCGAAAGTGCCCCAGTAAGTGTTAAATTTCTTATAATAGGTATTAGAGTGGTGTATGGCCTACTTAGCCCGAAGCAGGTATGGGATGATTGTATTTTTTTTATTGCTAGTGGGGTGGGACTAAGTCCCTTGCACTGCGGCCACTTCTAGTTGGGATAATTGTAACCTGAGACAGGTGTCTAGTCCGGTCTAGTCTGCGGTTTGTATGCGAAAACTATTAGATTCCTCAAACAGTTTGTGCCAAAGCCACATTTCTGATACTTTCTGAAAACCAGTAACAGATTCCATGATTTTTTTCTTGATAAATTGACTCAAGACAGTTTGGTGGAACTAATGTGACTTAAGTGATGGTCACTTAATTGTAAGTTGGAATAATCTGTCCTCCCCCATCTGCTGCTTCATGTTGGTCAATCATAGTTAAAGGAAATGACAATGAATGCCTGAGATTATATTTATTTGTGTCCTTTAAATGTGCTTCATTCATACAGTAATATCTGTATAAAATGGAACAACATCAGACAGCCAAGTTTCATTTTATGCAGGTACTTGAAATAAAATCACAGTTTTATTGGTTACATTACCTCATATGTTGCTTCATCGTGTGTGTCGAAGTGACGTTGGTTTAATTACATTATATGCATCACTTATTGTTTCTAGTAGTGCAGTAAGGTTTCACAGATGTGCAGTGTTGAGTGAAAGGTGTGATTTTCAATAAAAATTCTAGCCTTGCAAATTGTATCAGAAAGATTAGAATTATTATGATGTAGTGACAGTTCTTGAAGTTATCTGATGCCATTTACAGCATAATTGTGCGTCATAATTTTACACTGAAGTGTTCTTTAGAGGTCATGGCAACAACTAAATGAAAGACTAAAAATCTGAATGACATGGTGGTAAACATTTGGCTAGCAAATGTCATTGTAAAAAGTAAAGGTGAAACTATCCCTGAGCCTAATTAAATACCATGCCATGAAGATGGGGGAGTGGGGTTAGAGCTTTGACATTCTTAACCTCAGAACTAAATGGAGGTGAATGGTCAGATTCATCTTATGGTACTACTTCTAGTTATTGTTCAGCAACTGCTACTTGTTCTTCTTTTGCAACTTCTTTGATTTGTACTTGTGACTGTTAATTTCACTTTGACTGGTACTTCTGATTGCACTAGTTCTACATCTCACAACTGTACAACTAGCACTTATGCTGTTAGTAATGTTAAACCATGTGTAATAAGCTATCACAGTTATAAAAATAAGTGAACATTGCAGTTTTCTAATTGTAAATGTGTAATATTATTATTCAGCAAGTGCCAGTGAACTTAATAAATTGATAATCACTCTATAAATTAAAAATTGAACTGTTAGCAGCTGCTCTACTGAAAACATTGATTGCCCTGGTGAGAAACAACTGTGGATACAGAGGGTTGGTACTTGAGTAGGGCGGCTGTAGAAGGTATTGCAACCAACACGGTCAGTTAGAGGACTAATGTGTAGTGTGGTATTTGTACAGAGGGACTAGAAAACTGAGGAAGTATCCAGTTGGGATAGTTATCCACAAGCCAAGGGTTAAGTCTGAAGAGTTGGAACACAAAATCTTTGTAGGTGGTGACATTTAACAATGGAAAGAGGTAATGTTCTGCATTTTAACATGGGATGTACTATTATTAGTTAAACAGTGGTGTGTGTGCATGTAGTGTTCATGTTTATTAGGTATGGGATAATGATTTCAGAACACATATTGTGAGGAACTGTATGAAACTACTCACTCACGCGCAGACAAAATTCTCCCCCACAGATTTCATGCAGCAAGTCCATTTTGCATGTTCACACCATGAGTGTCATTGGCAATATCGTAATGGTCAGTAGAATAGCAGTAGGCTACAGTATTTTGAAACAAAAGATATATATTGAGTTTGTTGTTTTCAATTAATTGTTTCGTTTCCAGGCTTCCTGAAGTGCCCACTGATGTCCCAGATGATCCTCTGCTTAAGACACAGGGAATTCCTGAGATCAGCAGCCTGTCAACAGAAAAATGTTCAAGTGCTGTGAGAAAATATGCGTTAGACTTTGAGTCGGCAGTTTGGAAGATAGAGGATCAGTTGAAAGGTACTGGCTATGCATTGTAGAATTTTCTGTATATTACAGGATCTTTACTGAGCATATGATAGCTGTCCTGCTATTCAAGATGTTCTCTGTTGCTATCAAATGTAAAAGTTCATCAGTATTATCAGAATAGTTCTTGTGGACTCAGAACTTGTCAGGATTAATTTTCTGCAGCATTAATTGTGAACTGCAAGAAGCCACAAAGCCTGCCTAATTCATAATACTTGAAAAAGTGTATTTAAAGCAAAATAATAGAATTTCTACTCTTAGGGTTCAGGAAATAATGCAACCTAAAGTGTAGACTGTCTCTGTAACTTACCTAGCACACAGTGAAACACATTAGGCTAATCACACGGTGCTCTGAGCATCTATAGCAGTTCTGGACCAAACTTCTTTGTTGACATATATCCTGAGTGGCCAAATTTACTGAATACTGGACTCATATATGATAATTTTCAGAGGGGCAGGACCCAGAAAATATGTGGATTGGATGGCATAGATGTTTAGGTATGCTGTCAGCAAAATTTTATATAATGCAGTTTAGTGGTGGTGTAACATAAATCACAACAGGATGCAGGAATTAAAGTTTAAGTACATGCTATCCATGCAGCTTCTTCACAAATGTGTTATTTTGTAATGACTTTCTATTAAATATAAGCATGTGCCAGGCAGGCAGCATTGAAATGCTGGTCCCCTGTCAACTTTCACCCAGAGGACTCACTCTAAGCACAGTTGATACCGTAAGTCATGGTAATTATAACTTTTTCTCTGAAGACTCGTTTTCATAGAGTGAAAGATCTTAATTTTAAATGTGTATGTGAATCTTATGATGCTGACTCAAGTATACCTTCTGTTGCTGTTCATTGGTGCCATCATCTGCTCAAATTCAAAAGTTTGACCAATTCTGACTCTTAACATACATAATGACAGTAATAAACATTATTATACATAGTGAAATCCTCATTTAAGGTTTCTTTGAAGTCGTTGGATTTGAACATAAGCATAATCTTAAATGGAGGTAATTTAATACTGAGATTCTTGACTTGGATCCTTTGTGGTTGATCACTTGATGAAGGAAGACCCACAGTCAGAGAACATTAAGCGGGGTTTCCGCTGTTCATATGGATTTGTGGGTCTGCATTTCAGTTATATGTGTTTCAGAGCTTTCCTGATCATATGCATTGTTGTTTCAGAAAATCCAACACAGAATGTGTTTGCAGACGTGTTGGACCCCCTGGAGAAACATGGTGCCCCTCTGGACACAACATGGGGCCTTGTGAAGACCTTGTACCTCACCAATAAAGATCTAATGCCTGTTAGAGTGTATGTGAACATTCACAATAAAGCACGCCAGTCCAGAGCCTTGAAGTTTAGCAGTGAGCCCATATACACTGCATGCAAGGTGAAATATTTGTCATAGAGAAGGCACCATGCTATATTTAATTACACAATTCACACACTGCTTTAAAAAATTGGGTGGGCTGCGAGCACTATCAATGGGAACAAAATATAATTTACCTTTCCGTGTAAATGTTTAATGCATTTAATCTTTATAACAACGTATAACATGTTTTCATTAAAGATCATACAAATAATAAATTTTCAACAAGATTAAAGATCATGTAAGATTTGAGGTTTTCACAGCGGTGATTATGAAGAAAGCAGTCTTTTGGGATGTGGCACTGTGTAGATATTGTGTTAACCGACTTTTCAGAGGAATGTATCGCCTTCATCTTCAGGGTAGAAGAAAAAAGAAAATCCACAACTGAGGAACCAGTGTGAGCAGGTACTAACAGACTGATTAAAGATCAGTCATAAATTATTATGACATGTCAGCCAAAAGCCAGAATTATGAGGGCAGCAGAGATAGCCGTTGCTAGGGAATGGCTCTGCAAACATGCCAGTTGCTAGGCAATAGCCACAGCAGGCATGCACACAACAATAGAAGAGCTGTTGGCAGTGGTGTTCTCTGCTTGGTCCATGCCAGCTGCCATTACCTCCAGGTTTGGGAGTCTTGAATCTGAGACAGTAAAATATAGCCATGAGTCCCGTAGGAATCAGACACCAGAATGACTGCACTAGCAAGGGTCAGCAGCACTTGTAAATGAGAGATCCATCCGCTTGTCAGCCAGTCTGGCAGTAATACAGATTTGGTCTTGGGCCCCAGATTAAGGCTTGGCTATGAGACAGACGGGCCAGCTTATCATCAGTTGTAACATAACTTTGACTTTGATATTACTAAACAGTGATGAGACAGCGTTTACAAGAGCAGGAGGTTGATGTGAGATGGCTGTCATTCTAAGAGGACGTGAGACTGGGAGCAGAGGAACGTCCACTGTTTCAAGACATTACCAAGCAGAGCAGCGAAGACTGCGACTGAGTTCACTAGTCTTTGTGTGAAAGTTGTTTGTAAAGCGTAGTCACGAGTTATGTGTTAAAGTCTTCAATAAATCCAATTACCAATCCAAATCCTGTTTGTAGTCAGTCTTATCATTCTTCAGGTCCACCTGGTGCATTCACATAGCTGCAGGATCATGACTTGGATCACATAGGAGGCAGACAACAGGCAACAATTCTTGCCAAACTCTGCTCGTCTTGCTTATATGCTGATATTCCTTTTGAATTTTCATGACAAAATCTTTCATTGTTGTAATCTTCTGTACATAACAATTATATGTATATAATATGCAATGATTTATTTTTTGTTAATTTCACGGTTAAGAATGAAGGCATATGAATTACACATTCATTTAAATTCAGCATTGAAACGTAGTAACTTTGTTGTGGAGAAGTAGTTATGTATGATTGTCAGAGATATGCATTGAAATCTCCATTTGATGAATTTCTGGGGAAAGGATTTTCTTACACTACACTGAGGTGTTCACTTGCTGGAGGTTATGCAATATTACAGTTAGAAACTTAAATATGATGAAATAATATAAGTTCAGGAAATTGTTTCTACACAATTAAATACTCAATTATATTGAATTAATTTTTGAAACAATGGCATACAGAATTAGCAGCAACAGAATGAAACTGCTTCTACCCAAAACATTAATTGTGTGGTAACAATTTCTGGTAGGGAGAAGACATAAATTGCTTTTCAGCCACAGTAACAGCAAATTTAGGTACTGGTGCTGGGAGGTCAGAAATTTTGTACACTAAATAAGAAAATTAATGAATACATAAAGAAGGAAATAAATGCATGAATTCATTATCTCATGTGACTTGTAACAAAATGCTTTTGCAGCGAACAGTGTGGTCCTCACACTTTTGGATGACTGGTCCCAGAACCTTGACATGAATTATCCCTCCTTTCTCCAGCTTCTAGAACTGGAGAAAGGATAATCAGGCAAGTAGCCCGAGTATTTGGTTATGAGCACAGTTGTAATGGTGGCTGATCTCTTGACATTTTCTTTAATTTTTATAGGAAGCAAGTGTTAATAATGACCTGACAGAAGAACAGAAACGAGTGGTGGGGAAATACACACTCGAGGGTCGGCTAAATGGATTGGGCCTTGACAGTGCACGGCGTCTCAAGCTTCAGCAAACACTTAAACAGATTACTCAAGAAAAAACTAAATTCAAGAGCAAAGTTGAGGTAAGATCAAGCTAAGAGTTTGAGATATGGAAGCATGAAATGGTAGTCTTTATATTGTGAGAGGGGCACACGGTAGCATAATTGGTTGAGGCATTATGCTAAAAGCTGGAAGGTCACGGTTTCAATTCACGATGAGGTCATTCGATTTTTCTATTGACTTAATCCTTCAAGCCACATTATGGCCCTGGGGTCGACTCAGCCTATAACAGAAATGAGTACCAGGAATCATCCTGTTGGGTAAAAGGCTGCCAGCAAATAAGGCTGACAAACCTATGGGCCTTTATGGTCTGTTACAGGGATAGCTTCACCGTTTTACCTTTTACCTTTATGTTCCTGGACTAATGGCCACTGTACCTTAGCACCAAGCAACTTAATGAAGGTGGTAATGGTTCCAACTTGGTATTCAGAAGTTGTGTAGTTTGAATCTTGACTGGGATACCATCTGTTCTGAGTTCTTTTGTGATAATATCTTGTTATAGGTCAGTGTCAATTCCGTACACATCCTTTCCAATTCATCATTCCCTAATTATCCTACCATTCAGTGCTATAGTGTGAGCCACTAACAGTAAATTGAGGTGGATAGTGAGCTTCACACAGTGGCCATTTTAACCCAGGTATAAGAGGCTGAGTTTCCCCCAGAGCTGGTCATGACATGGTGGGAAAGAGAGAAATGCCATTTCCTACTGTAAATTGAAACCCAGCTGTCTGTCTCATAGCCAGTCACTATATAACTGAGCTATCCCAGCTCATGCCACTGAACAGACTTTTTGCTTATTTCATTACAGGTTGCTACAAAAAATTTCCAGCATAAGATTGAAGATCACTCAATTGTACGTGACTTCCCTGAGGATGTGCTCAGGATGATGGTGTCACACAGGTAAATGTAGCTTGTGATCAGCTCTCTGTGGGGGTTCACCGATGATTTGTTGAGGCTGCCATATGTAGCCAATATTGGATTGTAGCCTACTATCACAAAACAGAATTTTCCTTTCAGAGTTAACTTCATGCACTGATCGTGTAAGTTTCTTTCCCTGTTGCTAGGCTGTGCGCCTTTTGTGATTCCATCAGTGCATGTAGATCATTCGTTACTCATTTCTTTCCTGTGAAATACTGCATACCACTGGTGTATTGCAAAAAGTGGTTGTGCTTTGCAGGTAAGCCAGAAGCAGCAGAGTTGCTAGGAGTTACAGTATTAACTAATTAAATTTTTGTATGATAGAATGTTTATTGTGTAAATACTGCCTTAATTAAACTTTCAGTTTCATTAAATATGCATGACTTCCCATTTGAAATTAAAATTCACTTGCATCAGCCCCAATATACTCTCTACATTTAATTATGTGCCCATAATCTTTCAAGATAATGGGACTTAACAATCAATCTGCAAGAAATTACATGGAAGTAGCAAAAACACCATCTAATTCAAGAATGATTAAAGTGGATGACCGGGAATATGAAAGGGTAAGAGAATTTGAATAGCTTGGATCTACCCTAACGGAAGATAATAACATCACTTTTGAAATCAAACAGAGAATTTTAATGGAAAGTTGAGCTAGTTGTGTGAATATGTTCATGATTTCTAGGGAGATAAGATGCTTTTAATGCCTATACCTAACTATGTAAGTGAGAGAAAAGATAAAAATATGCCCCAAATCTTTGAAAGAAGGATATTAAGAAGAATTGAGTTCGCAGTTAAGGAAAATGGTGTATGGAGATCAGGCTATAACTTTATGAACATCACAAATTATAGAACGAACCAGATATAGTGAATGTGATCAAAGTAGGCTGGTTGACATGGCTAGGCTGACTCTTTAGAATGGAGGAGCAGAACACTTGCAGGAAGTTAAACTCAACAAGTGAGGAGACCTGCTATCAGGCAGCTGTATTTAGTTGAAGATTTAAAGATGATGGATGTTAGAAATTGGAGACAAAGTCACAGTGGCCAATGGCCATTGGTCTTGAAAAAGGACAAGGTTCCTCATGGACTGTAGTGCCCGCAAAATTCATAATTCCTGTTGGTTTCTAGTGCCTCCAGATTATCTTGTTTGACCTCTCTAGCCTCTGCCCACATAAGCAAGGGCATGGAATCCATTTCCGAGGTAGGAGTACCCATGGTGTGTATTCTGTTACCCCAAGTGGCAGGGTCTTCATGAGACTGATGGGGACCAATGGTGTTGAAAGGGGGGAGGGGTAACATTGGGTTCTTCACATTTCTAGATTAGTCATTGATAGAGGTAAAGTTTAGAATCTGGAATCAGAAAACCGGGACTTAGATCTGGCCAGGGATCAGACTGAGACCCTTTGAATGAGAATCCACTGTCATACTTTGAGACTACCAGGCACCCACATATTCCTACTGTTATAATTGTTGTTAAATATATAAATTAAAATGCTTCAGAATTATAAAAATCAGCATATTGGTGGCAGATACAATATTTCCTATGAATCCCTTTGCATTTGGTGTAGGCTACATACCTGTCACTTTATCAAGTAGGCTTTATTCCTTTTGCTTTAAGATTTGACTTTTCTTTTGTAAATGTTTCAACTATTCCTTATATATGTCTTCTTTGTTTTGTGTATGTTGCTTAGTTCACAACCAAACCAGGGTCCATGGAAGGTCACTCTGAACACACACGTGTACTCCAAGTTCCTTGAATATTGTCCAGATCGTGACATGCGTTGGAATGTGTGGCAGGCGTATACAAGACGTGCCTCTAAGTATGCTGATCCAAACCTGGAGAATAGCACACACCTGGAGGAGCTAAGATATCTCAGGTAAATAGATGACTGACTTGTTAACTAACCAGTGGGGGATTTAATTCTTCACGCTGTAAGAAGTCCCACATTTGGTTAAAATTGTCTAGAATTTTCCTTCTTCAGTTGAGCTTTATGCTTGTCATCCAGCATCGGTTTGCAGACAAAAGTATCTGTCCATGTATGTTTGTTTATTTTGTATGTACAGTAAAAACCTGTCTAAAGGTGGAGCCTGGATTAAACAGGAACTTTGCTGAATTGGAAAGATTCTTTAGTTGCACATGCATGCATAGATACACACACACAACCCCCCCCCCACTTCTCTGAAACGTGATGTAAAATTAAAAAAAAAAAAAAGTAAAGTAAAGCTATCCCTGTAACAGTCCGTGAAGACTCATAGGATTGTGAGATGTTGAGGCTCCCACATTTTCTCTAGCAATTGGCTCACAGGTGGTGGTAATGTCAGCCTTACACACTGGCCGAACTTTACCCCCCCCCAGGAAGACTCCTGGTACTCATTTCTGTTAAAGGCTGAGTCAACCCCAGGGCTGTAGTGCGGCTGTAAGGATTAGATAAATTGAAAAAGAATCCACCTCATCAGGAATCAAACCCATGACCACCTAGCTAGTAGCATAGTGCCTTAACCAACTACGCTACTGCGTGCCCCAGTGACATAAAATTACTTCTTGTAAGTGAAAACTGTAAAGAAGAGGAGTGCAGAGGAAAGCATATGAATTTAACCGTTCAGCGTGGTTTGACGTGTATGTTTCGTCAAGGTATTTAAATCGTCTGGGGGGGTTTGACGTCTATGTATCGTCCAGCTGCACACCTATGTTATAACGCCCATAATAATTGATGGATTTGCTGTAGATTGTTAGATTTTTTGCTGGCCTGTTGTCAAAAGAACAGTATATAATGAAACATGAGTTTAGCTGCGTTAAGTCATCGTTACATATGCCTGTCTTGCAGCAAAATCCTGTTGCTCTTGGAAGAGGTTTCCTCATTCAAACTGTTATGAATGGCGTGTTTTCTTTCCTATGACGTTATAAACAGCAGAGACGTGATATATGCTGTGTTTATAATATCATATTGCCCTGAGCTGGCCACACTAACACACTCAATTAGAATTCTTAGAAGAGGGATGTCCAGAAGTTTATTCTTGTAAGATCCATTGATTTCGCACAGTACATAGCAGCCAGTTCTTAGAATAACGACACGAATTAAGGCAGAACACTGTGGTCACCCCCTGTGACAATGGGTGTGTGTGTGTGTGGGGGGGGGGGAAGAACTCATTCCTTCATGTATTATCGCTCCAGTTGACTCCATTTTATCGTACTGACCTTGGTGGTCGTTTCGAGGGATGACCTTAAATATTTTTTTTGAGCCAGCTAAGCTCTGCTTTCGTGCACTACATACCAGCCAGTTCTTAGAATAACTTCATGAATTCTGTGGTCACCCCTATGACATCTACTGCAGCCAAAATGGATGGAATATGAAACGCATAGCACCAACCCCTTGTTATGATAACCTAAAAGTTGAATTTACTTCAGCTGATCTGGCAAGCTAAACGACTCATGAAAAGACATTTCCTCATATTCCCCTTTGCGAAGAAGGCAAGACTGCACAGAAGGTTTGTGGTTTACGGAAAAAAGGGCCAAATGAAAGATACGCAGTATTGGTGTGGTGAATGTGAGACAGCGTTGTGTATAGAATGCTTCAATGCGTAACATACACTGCTCAAATTCTAAACCACCTGCTTCCATTGCCGAGATACCGGGCGCTCATATTATAAGGTAAGGTTATAAAAACCATCTTTTAAGATCATTTTAGTGAAAGTTTCATGCTTCAAGGCATACCATACACTGCTCAAATTCTAAATCAGCTGCTTCCATTGCCGAGATACCGGGCGCTCATATTATAAGGTAAGGTTATAAAACCACCTTTTAAGATCATTTTAGTGAAAGTTTCATGTTCCTATCTCATATAATTTAAGAACAATGATGAATAAATCATTTTCGAGCAAAATTTAAATGGTCGGCTGAATATATTACCGCCGGAGAGACATGGCAGCGGAATTTAAATGACCGCGCGAAAGGGTTAAGGGAATGTGATGCTTTTGTAGATGGTGGGTAGGTACCATGATTTGGAGGGACCCACTGCCTGTATGATTGATCAGTCTGCAAAAGCAAGCTGAGCAGGGAGGGAAGATACATGTTCCAGGGAAGGACACACTGACACAGGGGTCTTGAATGAACCAATGGGAATTGGTTAATTTTCACCATTGCAAGAACCTTGAATTTTGTGCAACAGAATGTAGTTTGCTTGAATACTTTGTGTATTTTGCTTGTTTAATTTTGTTCTGCACTTTTAACCTGTGTTTACTCACATATGCGTGTGCACGCATATGCACATGTACAAACTCTCCTCTCCTCTCCTCTCTCTTTCAACAGATTATGTCATTAGCTTGCTAAAGTGTAGCAGCTTGCATACTTTTGCTTTTAAGAGGCGAATGTCTGCAATTCTACATTGCAGGAGATACCAGGCGTCTCTTCTGGGGTTTGAAAGTTTTGCAGCAATGTCTATGGAGACAAAGATGGCTGGTAGTGTAGAGAAGGTGAAGACGATGATTACCAGTCTTCTAGCCAGAGGTACGCTTGGCCTGAAACACAGGTGAGGGCATCACAGAAATGTGTTCAGGTTCCCACAGGCTGCATCTGATAGAAAATTGTTACTGACAGACAACCCTTATAATGTGAAAGCTCATAGCACAAAGAGCGTATGTAATGTATGTGATCACTTGAGTTATTGTAATGAAGGATGTTGTTCATTTTCTAAAATTTAAGTTGTTAACACATGAATGAGTAGTAAGGTCCATCAGGAGCGGCCTCCGTAGTCTAGGCATAACGTTCCCACCTCATGACTCAAGGTACGTAGGTTCAAACCCGGCGGAAGTTGTGGAATTTTTAAGGGCGGAAAAATTCGGGGAACAAGTCCTCCGGGAGGGACTTTAAGCCGTGGGTCCTGTGTCGTAGATTTACGACACGTAAAAGATCCTCATGTCTGAGCAAAATTAGGCAACAAGTTTCCCGCCTAAGTAGTTTCCAATGCCTCTGGTAGATGGGGGAAATATCAGGTACCGAGGGCTGACCTCGTTGGCTGAACAGGGCTGATAGCATGCACCAGTACCGGTAAGGTATGGCGACAGTAGAAATTAAAAAGGGGGACGCACAGTGGACCAATAACTGGTCTAAGTGCATGGAGAAACCCACCCCCTCTAATAATAATAATAATAAATAAGGTCCATCAAGTGTAAAAAGTTTACCTTTACCCATGTCAGCCACTACTGACCATCGACAGAAGACACAGCCAACACTGTAAGCAAATGAGTGTTTGAACATAAGGGATTTATACTAGCATTGGAAATTGAGACCAAAGTAAGATGCAGTGAAAATAAATTGTGTCTATTAAAAGTAATTAGTTAAAATCAGTTAAAATAAATAAAAAGTCTTGTAGTGTAAGTAGAGGAATATAATAGTGGCCTTTTTCTGCTGTTTGGTTATGTAGATATATTATAGATTATTGTATATTGTTCATATGTCCATCTGTGTGGTGTTACTGTGTGTAATCCATTGAAGTATATAGCAGCACATGAGATGTGCCACGGTGGACAGTGTAGCTCAGAGAGAGCCCAGCATTTCAGAGGAATGTATCACCACAAACTTTGAAGTTGAAGAGTAAGCCAAGCAAGAAAGAGCAGAAGTGATCAGGAAGCTTTGACCCTGAAGATGCAGGTGATCTGTTTATCTGAAATATTGAGCTGTCCCTGAACCCAAAAGATCAAGACACCATTGTTTTACTAAACCTAAAAACTCTGTGGCTTTTAGTCTGCAAGCGAACTATACTGACCGAGCAGCCACCACTTGTCAGCAAAGATAATGCCAACTTTTGCGGGTAGAGGGTGTCTCATGGTCAGCACAATGGATTCCCATGGTCATTAATCTCGGTTTTCTAGACTGGAGGTGTCACTTCTCCATTCAAGTAGCTCTGCAGTTATCCTCACAAGGCTGAGTGAACCCCGTTCCAGATCCACTACTTCTCAGAAAATCTGATTGTGCCAGGAATCGAACCCAGGGCCTCTGGGTCTGTAGCCAGGAACTCTGACCACAGAGGCAGCCCATTGTTTTCCTACTGTATGAAATATGTCCTCAGAGCTAGGATAGCTCAGTCAGTATATCAGCAGGCTACATAGTGGACAGCTGGAGTTCAATTCCCAGCAGGGACAAGAGACTTTTCTGTTCATCACAGCATCCAGACTCGCTCTGGGGCGAACCCACTGGGTAATGGGGCTGTTTACCATAGGGGTAAAGTAGCTGGATATGAAGGTGACCACTCACCTCCATCTAGTGCTGAGGTCAAGAATGGTAGAGCTATACCTCTGTTCCCACATATGTCTTTGTGGCATGGTGCTTAATAAGCACAGTGAAAACATTACATTTTTTAACCTTTGATAAAGTATTTTCTCACCTTATATTTGAGTTAAAAACTGGTGATGAATAGAGGAATCATTACAGGTAAGTTAGAAGTGCAGGAACCAAATGTCACAGCCAACTGGTTATCACTCATGCTTTGTATTCAAGAAACCCTGGGCTCAGATCTTGGCCTTGCAGACTGTCCATCCTGACTGAAGTGTTTTATGGATTTTCTCATCCCTTCTAGGCAAATGTCAAGATGGTACCTTAAATTAAGCCATGACACTTTCACATTCTTTTTGAGTTCAGTATTTGTTAGTCATCCTATCATTCAGTGTTGTATACTGACAACATTGATAAGTAAACCATAAATAGATAAATAAATACATACAATACATATTAAAGGGTATAATGTGTATCAAAGTACTGCTTAGTTCTTCCCACCCATTTTATATGGGTAATGGTATTGTGATTTTATTGTTTTTAGCACGTCCGACCCAGGATCGTGAGATATTCGAACTTCAAGAATTTGCTATATCACGTGGTTTCCAGGGTAGCATACAGCTATGGGATCTACCATACTGGAGGAGGAAGCAGCACACATCCCTATTTGGGTATGGTAATTTTCTTGAGTATAATCTGAAATCGTTAGCAGTAATAAAACCCTCCCATCAAACAGTGTAGGGGAATACTCAGATGTTTCAGAAACTGTCTCCTTCTCCATAATCATGATGATTAAGGCATAGATATTGTAGAGAACATTGAAGTTTTACCCTACAATAGGATTTCATTGCGTTTAGTCACTGTAAGAGCTTCAAGTCATCATCATCTTGACGTTCTTTTGCCACATTTCTCTCAGTTCGTACTCATTTGAACTGTGTATCCCTCTGTGATAGATAGTTATGGATTTTTAGGGGTGAGGGACATGATTACCCCTATATTGTATCTACAAAATAAGGGGTAATTATCAAAAGCATAAAGACATAACTAGACATGTGCAAAACCCATTAGATCAAATCAAGAAAACAAATCTTGATCAAAACTCAAAAAATGATTTTCCAATTTTCACCTTCAGTCATTTCCAGACAGGTTCCTTTGCTTCTCTCAGCAACACAGAAACTACCCCATCTGTTGCTGTCCACACGGTATCTTTCTCTTCTTGTCACATATCAGAACAGATGTGTAGCACACTTTAATGCAACGTGGAAAAGTCACTGTGATTACAGTGAAAAAATGACCTAAGAGAGAAAGTTCTCATTCTCTTTGAAATTGTTCTGATCTCTCAGTTTGTATACCAACAGGCTACAGCCAGGGTAGCTGGGTTTCAATTCCTAGCAGGGGTAATGGATTATTCTCTACTCCACATCATCGGACCAGCTGTGGAGCCTGCCCAGGCTCCTGTACCGTGGGTTGTGGGGTCTCTTTCCCAGGAGATAGAGTGGCAGGGGCATGGAGCTGACCACTCACCTCCTTATAGTACTAGGGTCAAGAATGTTTGANCTTCTACAGTTTTACTTCTAGCATAATTTTCTTACGCATGTCTGTGTTTGTTAATTCAGTGTCAGTGAGGACCAGATAAGAAAATACTTCCCGCTGCCACGAGTTTTGACTGGCCTGTTTATGTTGTGTGAGCAGCTGTTTGGAGTGCACATACAGGAGCGAAAAAGCTTGCACATGTGGCACCCTGATGTTCAGTATTTCGACATTCTGGAGCCAGACACCACACAACCTGTTGCAGGATTCTACTTTGATCCCTACACAAGGTAAGATGGAGCTCTCCCCATTAAGAACCACAGGCAGACTCCAGAAATACAATGAAGATCTGGTAGTCACTTAACAAAATCCATCATACATATTTCTTCTGATAACAGCTGTAGTTGGATCATATTCCCTTAAGTTTAGGCATATGCAAGCATGGCATTTGAATGTTGAGATGATATTTTGGAAATATTTCAAGAATGGAGACGACAACTAGAATTTTCTCCACTAGAGCGATTTTTCTATTGTAATCACAATTTGTAACGCTAGTCAAGGTTTTTGTATTACACTAGAGGTAATATTTATCCCTTTTTGATACTGTATCCTTTTTTTCAGTGAAACATTTTTATAAACCATTGTATTTAAAAAAAATGTTAATTCTAGTTCCAGGCCCTTTTTCTCCTTAAGCAGAGAGAGCAGGTGAGAGATAGATTTTGTTGACAGGTTGATTCATGCTAGCATTGCCAACCATTACAGTTCTCTTGGATTGGATAGAGTCAGTGCTACTACACAATGCAGGTACAGTTCTTTCAAAATTCTGGGAATTTGAGATTGAAAGTCAGTGGTTGAATCAAGAGAGAGAATTTTTTTTTTCAGTTCAGTCTCGATGATTCAAAACACACATACCTACTAATGTCCTTATTTTCCTTCACTTGCTATGACAGTTGTGACTTCTAAATCTAGTTTTATATTGCTTTCATGTCACAGTCTCATTTGAACTACTATTGCAGAGAGGAGAAGCTGAATACATACCAAGATGCAGGCTGGATGGTTGCATTACGTGGCCGCAGTTCCTTGGTGAACACAACCCCATTGGCATCTCTCGTCTTCAACTTCCCACGCCCTTATGGAGGGCAACCTGCGTTACTTTCCTTCTCAGAACTTCACCTCTTATTTCAAAAGGTGTGTTATCTACACTCGCCTAGCGAAACGTTAGTTTCTATCTAAAGATTACCATTTTCTGGGATGTAACGCAGCGCAGGTTAAAGCTGCTAGGAAAAGAGAGAAGAAAACAGGCTTCATTTTTCTTTTTTGTGCCCTTGTTTTCCTACGTGATTTACTCATGTAATCCGAAGATGGAAACAGCAGCTCCCTCTGAATCACTGGTACCTTTCTGCAAGACTACACAGTCTCACATATTCACTGCCATGAGAATTTCATGACTGTATGTCTGTCTCCATTGCAAGTTTTGAATCATTCTTATGAAAATGGTCAAATTTTACTAAGAACAGGAACCTTACTATTAATACATGGCTATATCAAAATAAAATTGCTGTGACTACCAAGTCTGAGATCACCTCTACATTGACATTTGATTATTACCTGTAATTAGTGTGGTAATAAAGTTGGAATGAGTATTTTGGAATAACCTGTTTATGTACAAATAAATTGGTGTTAAGCAACATTACATCGGGAAAATGTTTATCTTCCTAGAAGATTTAGTGTATATAATTTTGATAAAGTAATTTTATTTATGTAAGTAGTTACAGAAAGTGTTTACACAGAAATAAATGAAATTACATAGTAGTATCAAATTAATTTATAAAATAACTAATGGTGTATGAAATACAGTAGTTGTGTGGAAATGATTTCTAGCAGAGAAAATATTAATGTTGATTGCTGTTTTGGCCAGAGTTGCACTAAAGTGAGGTACAAGTTCTGGGAGGTCAGAAATTTCTTACACTATTGCAGGTTATTTACTAAAAATGTATTAAATACAGGAAAATAGTAAACAGTTTAACTGGGACCAAAAGAAAGTATTTATTGATGAGTATTTCACTCAAAAGAAAGTATTTATTGATGAGTGTTTCATTCAAAAGAAAGTATTTATAGATGAGTATTTCACTCAAAGGAAAGTATTTATTGATGAGTTATTTCACTCAAAAGAAAGTATTTGTTGATGAGTATTTCACTAACTGAGGGATCAAAAAATTGAGTTTGTTTTTTAAGTTTTATGAGGACAGATGTAAGCAGTACAGTTGTATTTGCCCTCAGTTTGGCCACGCTCTGCAGCATCTGCTAACAAGAACCTCCTACATGGAAGTGTCAGGGTTGTCCAATGTGGAGTGGGATGCAGTAGAGGTCTGCAGTAATTTTATGTCCCATTGGTAAGTGAAGAAGTATGAGCAGAGTGGCATAATTCAAATTGTTTTAGCAGAAATCGTTTACAGCTTAATTTGCAGCAAGAGCTCTGGTGTCAGTCTAGCCCATTTAACTGGGATCCATGACTGGCATTAAAAACTGTATTTATTTGTTTCACCACATTCATTTCTCTGTATCAGTTCTAGAACTGCTAAGTGGATCTTCATGAAATTTTATATAATGGAGTTTTATTGCCATTTGCTTATAAATTCGAATTTTGTATAAAAGCAGACAGTAATAATGGACACTTCACTTTAAGACCTACATGCATTTATGTGCACATTGCACATGACTCACTAAATATTTATCAGAACAGAAGTGTTTCAAAGAAAATTTCTATAGAAAAATGGAACATAATCATGCTTTAATGCTCAGAATTTTGTAGATAATTAAGCAGATGTTATTATTCAGTTGTGTCATATCATAAATCAGGAACCTTTGGACTTAATTTGATCAGATTCTGTATTGGAGGTCCTTTCAAAAATATATTGTACCAGACTCAATATTTGATAAAGATTAGCACAACAGAATCAGTGTTTTACTTAAAAGCCTAAATATGGATTTGTAGGTCATAGAGTTGATGACCAGAATGTCTAGTGCCGCACAAAGATATTTGTTTATAAGAAAGTGTCAGAATTTGGCATTAATGAATGGAAAATGTAGAGGCAATGCAGAGTGAATGTACCAGAACTGTTAATTTTACAATAAAGACAACCAGACTGCCTATGGGGCCCACCCTACCCTGCAGTTGATACTGGGGTCTCTTTCCATAGGAGTAAAGTGGCTAGGATGTGAAGCTGAGGTTAAGAGTGCACGGAGTTGTCCCTCCATTCCCCTTTTTGTCATATTGGACAGTGTGCAGCTTTTGAAAAAGCAAAATTAGAACTGACTCCTGTCTATCTGGATTTAAAAATGATTTCTTTGTGTGATACATAAGTATGCTTATCAGTACATGTACAGTGTAAGGTCGCTTGTAATGTTCTTCCACTTGAGATTTTCCTCAGTTCCGTGTTCCAGTAATGTGCTTCCCAAGGAACGTAAATGGAGGGTTCACTCTAATTTATGTTTGTGTTTCTGTCTGCTGATTGTGCAGTAAAATTGGGTCTGCTTTACAGGCTGTATGACCCTAGCACAATTGATCTTATAAGTGCTCATGTAGAAACTGGTGAGCCATTGCCATCCTCCATGTTACAACAACTGTGTCTTGCCCAGAGACATATGACAGGCTATGAGCTCTGTAGGGAACTGTACTTGGCATCTCTGGACCTGGAGCTCCACTCTTCGTAAGTACAAACAAGCTCATACTGAAGGAGAGCGAAGAACATGTTTTCACAATAAACTAATCCATGTATTCCGAACATAGATATTCTTTCGGATATGCCATAGCTGTTTGTAATCACAGTGTTGTAGAGAAGTGCTCTTAATTTTTATTAAGAATGAAGAAACTGAGTTTATTAAAGAGAGAAATGTCTTAAAAGGGTTACTGTACCCATATACAGAAATCATTATTTTCTGCCTTAAATTAGAGAGTGGTTGAATTCAAGCAAAACACTCTTACACAAAATTGTGTTTCCTTCTAACCATGTGTGTATACATCACAGACTGCTAAGTACAGTGGACACTGTATGTTGTAATCACAGATGTTATCACATTTATGAAGTCTGGATCAGACATACACTAACACACAGAAAAAGACGATACTTATTATCATCAGCACTTTGGATTTTGTTGTTGCTTTTTTGCCTTATTGCAGCCTTGAGGCAAGTGCAGTGGAAGTGATTATGTAACATCCTGCTTTGTTCTTGAGCTCTGATGTGAATATGTGTGGTTTATTAATGACCTTCTCAGAAAAGACAATAGGCAGTCAACTTTAAAAGAATTTTTGTAATTCTTGATTTTAATACTTTCTTTATTTGTTTTTAATGGTGTATGTGGATTTCCAGACACCCATCAAATAAATGTCAGAGAAGAATTATTTGTGAGAAGCCAATATGTGGCAACTACCAGTAATGATTCTCAAGAATTCAACATTATTTGCTCTAGCTCACCTCAGTGATTTCAGGGATCACATTTCAGAGAAGAAATTTCTCTTATACACCAGCCAATATGGTACTGTGAAATATGCTGTTACTCTCTTCCATCTTTGTTTGCTCATAATCTGTAATTATTTGTCCATCTTTTCTTACACACTGAAATATCTCAAGTCTTATATAGCAGTAGGACAAAACACATTGAAACTTGAAGGAAAAATATTCAGAAGGGATGAGGCAAAAGAAGAAAGTTGCAGACATTGCTATCACTATCATGATTCATGGTTCAGTAATCATCCACAGCATTGTGGAAACTGTTACACTTCAGACACTATCTCTGCCTCCATCATCAAGGTAAGATATCGAGTGATTGCCAGATATTGTGTACATGCATGTGTGTTATCTGCAGTGACGTGCCTGATCATCTGAGAGGACTTCATGGCATTTTGTTTCTGCAAGAACTTCAGCTTCTCACTGTTGTCTTGTATGATTTATGTTTATAGCAAGGATTTCTGGTTGGACTTGGTGCGAAAACTTTGGCCCCAGTACTTTGCCTTCCCTCTCGATAGTAAGGATTCCCACCCGTGCTCCTTCACAGCCATCATCTGTGAAGAATGGGGTGCAGCATACTATTGCCACTTGTGGGCACGTATTGTTGCTGCAGATGTGTTCAGCACATTCCTTGAGGCAGGGCTCAGCAATAAAGAGGATCTTCATATGATTGGCAGAAGGTAAATGCTTTTATTACACTTGTAACCTTGGAATACCAGCATGACCAGCAAAAGCAACATTCTTTAACAAATATTGGCAGTATGCATTTCACATACTCTTACAAGTATTATATGAAGAAGTTTAGAACAGGTGCTTGGGTTATACATTATATTCTTTAATATCCACTAATATAACTATAGAGACATACTACACCCAGTGGCATTAATTTCTTTTGCAAAAACATAATGTTATTGGCAAGAATTAGTTCTGTAAGAATGTTATAAATGGGAGATATGTTCTTAGGTGGCTAAAATTCACACAGTGAGAGCCAAAAATAGATCTTTACTAAGACTCAAGAATGCAGAAACTTTATAATAGTAACAGGCACAGAGTACAAAATGTAAAGTAAACCTTAAATTCAAACGAAATAAGGAATTTTAGGTTCATCAACACCATAAATACAGTCTTTGTGGTATAATTTATAAAGTTATTTGATCTCGTGTCTTTTTAAAAATCCACAGGAAAACAACTGCATTAAAATATCAAATTAAACAAGAGCTTACCATACCTTCAAGAACTTGAATTTTTTTAGTTGGTAGGAATTACCCATGTACATCATTATCATCATCATCTGTTGACACTTCTACCAGGATGAGCTATCATATGACAGCCTTCTCCATTCTTGTGGTTTTTTGTACCTACCCTCAGTTGAATGCTTCACCATTTTCTTGGTCTCCCCAGTATAGTTATTGTCGTAGCTTCTCCATTACTGAAACTTCCAGTGCAGTCTTACTGTCCTGTACCTGTAATACCTTGTGTCCTCAATTTGACAGTATTGTTTGTACTGTTTGTCCTCTTCAGATCTTGCCTACTGTCTAGGTTCTGAATGTTCTCTCTACTTAACAGATTATAAGGCTTTCATGGCAACTGTATGCACCAAAGTCTTTTCATGCAATCAGCTTTGTTAAAATGGAGCTGGTATTCTGTGCTTTGGAGACTGTTTCTGCCTCAGTTATCAGGGGTAGATGTGATGAGTGACAGCATGTAGTGTGTTTATAAAACATTCATGAGGATGGAGGCAGAGACAGTCTCTGAAATGCTGGATACCAACACATTTTCACACAGCTAATCACCCAGAGAGACTTAATTTCATCTCTTCAAGTCCCATCCAAGTTTCTGCTTCATGTATTGAAACACTAAAGGTGAAGGTATAAATTTTAACATTCCTTGAAATTGCCTGCTTGAGTCACAATCACCTGTTTTGCCACAGTTATGTTGGACAGTGTCCAACCAGTATTTGGTATAGGTGACATTTCATGAATTGGCTCTACATCTGCCTTCAGGTGACAGTTTTTCTTTCTTTTTATCTTAGGGTGTATTGACTGTAGCTGGAACTGAACATAGCACAGTTTGTATAATAATCTTATATGCTGGCTGTTGGACCAGGAGTGTACAAACCATACAAGTCCAGCATTTAAAGGGTGCAAGGTTCATTACATAAAGAAAAAATAAATATCTGTCAATATAGCGACAGCTAATTGGTCAGAAGACAGGTCTCCAGAAGCATCATATATATTAAATATACTTCACGCAATCAATGTGCCGATCACAGTTGTGATGTAATGAATTGACCACTGCCACAGACCTTGAGGGAATCAGTTTTGTCAAATGCTTTCATACCAAAATGCAGTTCTCATCTTTATCTTCAGGTTTCGTTCCACATTTCTTGCGCTTGGAGGTGGCTGTCATCCTGGAGAGGTGTTCAGAAGATTCAGAGGGCGTGACCCTTCTCCAAAAGCTCTTTTAAATTCTCTTGGGCTCAAGCAGTATGGTGTGAGTGAGGCACCAAGCAGTCAATGAGAGTCCAAAATTGAAGGGCTTGGGGCTAGACAATGACAAGCCACAGAAGTATAATTATACAGGAGAGCAAACTGAAAATTTTAAGAAATTCTATTAATCTGTTGTCTTTTGTTGTATTTGAAGTTCTGACAGTGGTAACTATGAATAATTCTGGCTTTGAGTATATAACACTCTGTAGTTTGGTGGAAGTCAGCCTGCATTTTGGAGGAATATATCACCTCCAAGCCAAGAAAGAAATTAGCAGGCAGCAGGCAGGCTTTGCGTGCCCTGTAAATGGATTGAAGATGTTCCTCCAAAATGTCAGTTGACTTTCACCAGACAACTTGGCGTTATATCCCAGAAGCCAGAACACTTAATGTTGTCTTCTATTCTGATAAATAGATGTTACACCACAGTGATTTACAAGTTATTTGAAATATATGTGACACAAAGAAATTCATATTTTTTCTCCAGTACATTGAAAAAATAAGGAAGTTGTATAATATTTGCAGAAATTGTGGCTTATCACTTTATTAGTCATAGAGAATCTGTGTACACATTATGGCATACAGCATGCCTATTTTTGGTTCCTCTTCAATAAATTAATGTTTTGAATTCTTTACATCATTCCAATTGTAGTCTATGAGTCGCATCCATCTCTTTCGCTGTCATCTTCCAGATGTCCATGCACTTCCTCTCCACTTGCTTGTCAACTCCAAGTACACTTATATATTAAGGTTCATACACTACAGGCATGCATGGCAGAAGATCTTTAAGAGTCCTTCAATTTCATGTGATTTCTCTGCAAGTGTTCCTCATAGTTTCTTTGAAGTGTTGTCTTTATTACACAGCCTCCTCTACGACTTGAAAAAAAACAGCTGATTTTGGTTTACCATCAAGACATATGGGGGAGTGGAAGTATAGGTCTACCTCGGCACTAGATGGAGGTGAGTGGTCAGCTTCATGCTCCTGCCACTGTAACCCCAGCGAAGAGCCCCCGGCACTCATTGAATAGGAGGCTGGATGGGCCTCAGAGTCAGTCTGGACACTGTGGACAAGAGAAAAACATTGCACTGCTGGGAACAGAACCCAAGCCATCCAGCCCATAGCCTGTCACTATACTGACTGAGCTATCCCTACTCTTACTAGTACAAGCATTACAGGTATATTATTGTCTGCTGCTGTAATAAACTTGTAACTGTATTTATTAGAGGCCACCTCAAACTTGTATATTTTTAAATTCCTCTGATCAGCATGAACACTGTGCATGCATGAATATGAGAAGGGGAAGAGACTGGGTGACATGATATCAGGTGTGGGTAAAGAGCTTCAGAAGATATACTATTATGGAGATATACCTGCATTTCGTAGAACATAGAACAACAAGATGGCCACATACAGAACGTGCTGTCTGTTGCCACGTATGCTTCTTAAATGGTGAGCTTGGGTAGTACCAGCACATAGTTGGTGTATTGCTGTGGAGTGGTATTGAGGGTGGAGTAGCTGAACTGTGTAAGTTTCTTCAGCAGTGGGCAGGGGCCTAGTAATTTGTGGAGTATCATGGCTAAACAGTTCCAGAAGTTTGTAACTGAGGAGCAACAGAAGAACATACACGGTGTGTCCAGCATCCATTAGGACTCTTAAATTTTGCCCTGCAATGCCATCTGTTGGCAAGTTTTGGTGTTAAGATTCTAGAAGTTTCAGCTGTGGCTGTCTATAATTTCAAAGCGCAAGCATAAAGAAAACCACAGAAACTTGTAACTGATGTTAGTAAAGAGGGTGATGTAGAAGTAAACACAGAAGAAACTAAGTATATATATTGCTGTCTCATTGCTGGAATGCGGAGCAAAATCATAGCACATAGATAGCAAACAGATGCTTTGAAAGTGTGGCACAATACAAATATTTGCAAACAGTAACAAATCAGAATATGACTCAGAAGGAAATTAAGAGGAGATTGAATTCGGGTAATGGTTGCTGCCTTCCAGTCTAGAATCTTTTGTCTTCCTGCCTGTTGTCTAAAAATATAAAAATTAGAATATACAGAATTATAATTTTGTACATGGTTTTATATAGGTGTGAAACATTGTCTCTGACATTAAGGGAGAACAGGGCACTGACGAGAATATTTGGACCAAAGATAGATGATGTGACAGGAGGCTGGAGAAAACTGCACAGTGAGGAGTTTCATAACTGAAATTCACTTAGTGGGGAGTGGAGTCAAACTGGGTCCACTCAGCACAGCAGCCACTGATTGGCCTATTGTAGCCTGCCCTGGGTGATTATGATGATGGAGAATTTAGTGGAATGAAGATTGGCAGGGGAAACTGAATTACTCGGAGAAAACCCGCCCCAGCGCCACTTTGTCCACCACAAATCCCACTTGACCAGACCCAGGATAGAACCCGGGCCGCCGCGGTGGGAAGCCAGCGACTAACTGCTTGAGCTATGGTGCAGCCTCCCATAACTTGGACTCTTTGCCAAATATAATCAGAATGCTCAAGTGAAGGAGAATGAGATAGGCAGGGCATGTAGCACATATGGGGACGAAAAGGGATGTATATAGGATACTGTTGGGGAAGCCAGAAGTAAAGAGACCACTAGGGAGACAAAGACGTAGGTGGATGGATAATATTAAAATGGATCTTAAAAAGCTAGACTGGGATGGTATCGACTGGATTGGTCTGGCTCAGGATAGGGACTAGTGGCGGGCTCTTGTGAACACGGTAATGTACCTTCGGAATCTATGCAATTTTCGGTAGTTCTCGAGCCTCGAGTGTTCTTGAGTAGCTGCGTGAGTGGCGACAAGTCAAGACGGCCCAGCTCCGTGAAGTCAGTTAGTTAGCTATCGACGCCGGAGAAAATACCGTGAAATATACTACTCGCAATGTAGATGGCACTGGAATGTAACTTTGTCTGACGTTCCGTGTGTAGGGAAATCGTACGTGGTAGCCATTTTGAGGTAGGTGAAAGGTTGTAGTATAGCTTGCAAGTTTGTAAGTTTTATTTGCTTTAAAACTTAAAAATTTATAATATTTTAACGTTTATAATAGCAGCAGTACGTTTTAATAATCTTTCGACATAAGGTTATGCTAGTAGATAAGTAATTATTAAGTTATGTGTAAGTAGATGTGTCTGTCTTCAAGGCCCATTAGTTCTATGCCACGTGTTTGGTATCATACTGATTTGTGTGATCTGTTATATGATTGTTTGACAGATAGCGAGTGGACTGGAGTTATGGAAAGATTGTCGCAAGTGAAGAAGGCTGGTACTGATGTCTGCCTGGGCATGCAGGGCGTCCCCCCCCCTGCCCACATTCTCTGAAGAAATCCTGTATGGAAGGTATGTATCATATCGAATTATCCTTACCATAATAAGACTGAATGTCATAGTTTTTTTGGGTAGGACTCTTGATTCATAGACTTTAGGTCATAAATCCAAATCTCGTCCCACAGATTGGTTTTCCTGATAAAGACCTTTCCTACTTTTACTGAGTTGCCTCATGTAAATCCTGGAATAGTTACTCAGGTTATGCCGAAACCACTTGGTTTCGTTATTCACTGATCATCATACCATTATGTGCTGTATAGTGTGATCACTGTGTAGCTCAGGCTAGGGCAACCTTTTTACCTTGGAGGAACCCTTGAAATAATTTTTCAAGTCTCAGGGAACCCCTGCACAAAAACTATTATAAATGTAGTCTCTGAATTTAATGTAAATGAAGGTTGTAAACTGATCTTAATTAGGGCTCTTTGCAACATGAAAATGTATCGACAATAGTGAATAGTAAGGTTACTGAAAACCATAAGATAATTCAAAGCAGTATGAACAAAAATATCATCTTTAACACATTGTTATATTTTGAATTAAAATAAAGCATGAAATTTACTATTTTAATGTGAAACATGTGCTTGTTTTTGCTGCACAAATATGTAATTCTAGGTCGTACTTTAGATAAGGACACCCAGAGTTTATCTTCAACTGAAATCAGACAATTTATATCTTTGCTCTTGATGCTTGTTAAACAAGAATAAGCCTGCTTACACATGTAAGAAATCAAAAACTGCAGTAGTATGTTTATTGCTTTCCTGTGAATGGCAGGATACTCTTCCTTCATAGAAATCCAGAACTTGTCCAGGGATAGGTCAGTAAATCTTATCTTGAGTGTACACTCAGACTGCAGCTCACAGAGTTCTCAGGCTGAGCAGGTGATGCAGAGTAAGGGTCCCTCATCCAGTCATATATGCACTTGTGTTGAAATGGAGGGAAGATAATGTTTAATTATGTTCCGCAGTTTGTCATGGTGGTTTTCAATAAGACTTGGTGGTATTCTCCTTCACCCTCAAGCCCCAGCAGCTGTGGAAACATTTAATGATTTTTCCAGAAATGTTTCCTTTTAAATCCAAGAATCTTATGACTTGAAGTCACAAAATTTCCTCTTGGACCTTGTAGACGCTTACTCAACTGGTTCATATGATGAAACGTGTCTGCTAAGCAGGCTAGTTTCTCCAGCCATTCTTCATCTTCAAAGTAATTTGCGTAATCTGGCTTACTGTTTTCTTGAAAGTAATCCTGTAATTCACCTTTCAGCTCAAACACCCTGTTGAAAAGTCTTCTTTGCTAAGCCACCAGATGTCTGTATGTAGCAGGAGATTTATGTGCTGTTTGACCAAGTTTTCACACAGTTTTTTAAACATTCTGGAGTGAATTGGTCTTTGTTTGATAAAGTTAACCATTTTTATAACATCATCCAGAATTTTTTTTCATTTCATCCCAAACTGTTTTTTAAACCAGCATCTCTCTATGAATAAAGCAGTGTGTTGTGGCAATGTCAGGATTTTTTTTTTAACAGGACAGGCAAAATCTATACTGGAACCAACCACTTATGGGGCACCACCAATACAGGTGCTTACACAGCTCTCCCAAGACAGATCTTTTGTTTCCCTTTATGGAAACAAAACATTAAATATATCTTTTCCTTTGCAACAGAAAGTTATCTTGAATTTCACCATCTTACAAATGCTACAACATAACTTTTATTGGTGAAATCTGTTGGCTCATTGACCTAGATAGAGAAACTCTTATTTTTCAGTTTATCATACAAACCCTCTTCAGCATCATGCAGCATGTCATCAGTACATCTGTTTATCTTACTGCATCTTGGCCCAGCATCCCCACTGTAATTTTACCAGCTGGCATTATTAGGTTCTCGCCAGCTGTGTGACTTTTCCTTTTCTGGGCAATAATTTTCTGCTACCAAATAACTTGCTTCCTGAGTCTGTTCATTTGACTGACTTTACTTAACAAAAGCTTTACTCTGTTTTGAAATTTTAGTAGCCATTCAAAATAATTTAGCACTTCTAGTAGTCATGTGGTTGTGATCTCTAGTTAAGCATCATTTCACTTTTACTGAAGCAGCTGCTGCATTTGTAAGCCATTTGCCACAGACAAGGCACAGTGGAATAGGACAACTTGAATCACTGGTCCATGTAAAGCAGGTTAATAAGTAGCTTTCATTGTAAAGATGGGTCCTTTTGGTGTCTGTTGTTGAACTAGTGCAATGAGATTTGACAAGACGCTTGTGATTCTTCATCATTAACCTCATCAGAATTTTGAAGAGGGGGACTCTTCAGAAATCATCACATGGTACCATCAGACATTTCTGTAAAACAGCAGTTAATAAAATATAAAAAAGAATGGTGCAGACCACAAGAAAATATGAAAACTTCACAGTGCTTCTAACCTACAAAATTCTCCTTATCATTTCTATGTGTATAATAAAAACTCCATTGTAAATGCAACACTTTATTGTAGTTCTTGTCCCCCTTCTTTCACACTACATGTTTCGGCCGTAATCGGCCATCATCAGGTGTATTTCACTTCACGTAGCTGTCACACTGCACTCAATGTTTAAATGTTAATATTGAGTGCAGAACTACAATAAAGTGTTGCATTTATGACGGAGTTTGTATTATACATATAGAAGTGTGGAATGTAACAGGATGCTTAAATATAATATAGTCTCCTTATCCTTCCTGCCTGCATTCACCCCACTGTCCACTAGAAGTTATCAGAAAAGAATGAGAACTACAAAGAATTATTGATTTCAGTCTTTTTGCACCTTTTTTCAAATTAATTAGACATTAATTGTTATTATGCCATTAAGATTATTGAAATGATCAGATAATTTATTTAAATGCTGCATAACCATTGAAAATTTTAATGATTAAAAGAGGAAGTAAGCCAATATTATTTCTTGGTGTAAGTTGTAAACTCCAAATATGGGAAATAGATAACTTCAGTGGTCATTATTAATATAAATACACACATACACAATGTTTATTTTTATATATTACACGATATCTCATGCAAACCTAGGGTCCCAAGGAACCCTGGTTGCGAAAGGCTGGGCTAGGGTGTTGGGTATGTCATCAGAACTAAGAAGGATGCCAGGCAAGGGCATGATCAGGCGGTGAAGCTATCCAGGGTACAGAACAGGTCGTCACCAGTGTAGAGGGTTGAGGAGGCCTGGGCCACATTCAGTATTCATGTAGCTACCATTTGTTGACAGGTCTGGAGGGCCACCTGTGAGAATGCAGTTGCATGCAACAGTGTGCTATGATGCCCGACTCTGAAGGCAGCAGTTAGTGGTCCCTGCAGGACATCTGGATATGGCACTGTGTTGAAATGGTAAAGATTACTGACATTCTTGAGGAACTTGCTCCACCTTCTTGCGTTGGAGGTGAACTGTCAGTAATCGTTGCCATTTTGACACGTGCTGTACTCAGAGACAGGACATTCTTCCCCGCCATACAACATCCATGAGGAGAATAGGTTTCTGCACCCCTTGCTACTCCACAGGCAGCCTCTGTATTAAATGTTAGTGTCTTTAGTACCATAATAATCAAACTCATACATAATGCAATCACAAGATATAAGCTTTATGTAATTTTTACTCCATGTCAGCAGTCCTGGACTGGCATCTCCAAAGGAAGGCTGACCCCAGTGACGCAGGAGTTTCTACATGATTGAAGACTGCGCACTGTCATCCTTCCCATATGAGCACCATCTGCATGGAGCCCCTGTACTAAAGGTATGTGTCATGTCTGATACTTAACATTACAGTTGGGGCTTACGGTCAGGTGCGAGGCAGGGAAACACACAGGTCACATTGTTATATAGCAGATTATTCACCTTGAGCCAAATTTTGCATATTTTGGAACATTTGCCATATTGGTGATTGCTTGTTAAGTTGAGGCAGTTTAATCATAAGGTAAAAAAGGTAAAGTTGTCCCTGTACTTAACTAATTAAGCACTATGCCATGAAGGCGTATGGGGGAGTGGATGTATAGATCCAGTCTGTTCATTATGTAGTTCATATTTGAGGATTTACGTAAAGAATACATGTCTCTAAACACTGCATTGCTTCAAATTTAAGATGCATCCAGTTTTTAAATGGTTTTAGGAAAAAATTAGAAAGGTGTATTCATTTCAGTGAGTTTATTTAAAACATTTTTAAAATGAAAAGCAGTAGAAACTAAACCAGAATGGAAATTTAAAAGTTTTCAGTACATGCACATTCCTTTATATATATATATATATACAGTAGAACTTGGTTATAACGTCATCAAAGGGATCTAAAAATAGTGTCGTTATAAACGAATGTCGTTGTAACCGAAATGGGCACTTCCACAGTAGCCTTATGTTAGTCACGTAAAAATCTACCAAAAACCGAGTTAAAATGTTGCATTTTTTAGTGATATACATAGTTAAGTACAGACTAACGTAACATTAACATGGAATTGCCCAAATGTGTAATACATCGGCTTTTTTCCTTCCATTTTCTATTCCACGAATCACTTTAACTTTCTCTTCAATGCTTAAAACTTTCCTTTTCATTGCCATGTTTTCGCTACTGCACTTCTCTGGGTTTAGGCAGGAACACTATAGGGTAAGTAGACAATGTGAGGTCCTGTTAGA